GAAAACCCAAAGGCGTAGAGGTAGAGAAAACAGTCTTATGAGTAACAATGTCTTGAACTGGGATGTTGTTGCTCAAATCCTGTTTGTATTGAGGAAAATGGGGACAGAGGTGCTGCTACATTTGTCATTCCGGTATTCTCTAACTTGTAGAGCCTTGTTTATTGTCCCGTTTGACTTCTAGATAGGTGATGTGCTCGAGGTAGAGGAAAAAGTGCACCCAAAATGACTGAATTTCAACTAGCAGGAGATAGCCTACATGAAACCTTGTGGCAGGAGCACAGAGCACCATCTCAGATGCCACCTCAACAGACCGCGGAGGTGGCCATTACCTGAGAAAACTCACTGTCTAGCTGGCGAGGGATGGCTTTGGGCGATTATCAATGACTCCTGATGCCCCGTTGCACCTGATTGCTGTGCTACTGATTGTAATCAGTTTGTTGTTCTGTATTTGGTTGCATCTATGTAGGTATACCTCGTGAAGAGCCCATCACCTGGAACGCTTGGTCACGCAAGTTCATCACTAGTAGACCCCAGCAGTGAGAGCAGAGGGTGTGACAGCGCAGCCCTTTCAGCATGCCTTGGGCTGAGGGACACGGGGCATCTGCGGTACGAGTACTGCACTCTCAGTCACCTGCAATGTCTGGCATGGGTTAAGGAGGGGTCTGTGGCAAAAACCTACAAAGTTTGAGTTATATCCCAAATGACTGGGTGGTCCTGAATCTCCCTAGCTCGCCTCTGTTTAGCTGAAACAATGAACTAACTTAGTACGATGTGGTTAACGAAAACCATTTCGTAAGGACCAAGATCATCAGGCCCTGATGGTGACTAGTCTGTGCCTTATTAACTTTTACTGTTCATGTTGTGCTCAGTGGGTGGATACACCCGTGAAAGTTTAAGCTATTTGTAAACTAATGATGTATGATCCGAGTGGGAGTACTGTGGCCTCGCCTTGGCCAGGAGCTGAGTTTGGTATGAATTGGCTGAGTGTGGTGAGCTGTGGCAAACAGGGCGGTGCAAACAAGAACTGAGTATTTCCATTGCGTGGGCTGTGGATCAACAGCTGACAGAAAAGCACGTGAGACTTCTGGAAAGGCATACAGCAATCTTATTGTGGACTGATCTGATTAGTGGCCTGTGCTGACATCTGGCTATAATCAGCAGTAGAGATCGGTGCGGGGGGAGATGTGGTGACGTGAATATCTGACACGGCGTAGGAGCGGAGTGTCCGAGGCGCAACCATTACGTGTGGGAGCTGAGCTCTACCCAAGAGCCTGATGCTCACACTCAGCCGTGTCATCTCCTTGGAGTAGTAATCGGGGATGGTTAGTCGTGTGTGAGAGAAGCATTTCCCCGACGCTGCCTGTCCCTCATTCAGTACACTTAATAAACTGAATGTAGCAGTGTCATGTCCTTTCCCCGCTATAATCTCAATTTCTTAAATTAATACTCATGTTAATTTAAAATGAAAGAGAAGACTGGAAAATTCAAAAATAGAATTAATTTGGTGCTACACTCAGAAATTTTCTAAAAAGGATAATGGGTCAAGACACCTCAGATTTTTCTGCTCTCTGTCACTCATTTTTCCAGAATTTAAGACCTACAGGTACCTATGTCAAGAACCTATGCATAAAGATATAAACCACTTCAAATTATGTGCATTAATCTTCCACTGTAGTTAATTTGTCTTTCTTCAGTATCCTTTTTGGGCAAAAGTTTTCTTTGTATATTTTCTTTTAATGATTCCTCATCAAGTCAGTTTACAATTAGAAAGATGACTTTTCTAAAGCAAATGCCCTCTGAATTAAGTTTCTATTGCAAACGTCTAATCCGTGTTCTGGGAACACGGAAGTGCTGAAATTCCTGGTGTAAATGCAGTCATACCTTTTATGCACTGGTCGACACCTGCATTATGAACACTTAAAATAAGGTTCCTCTTTGTGTACTTACACAAGAAAAAAAAATTCTCCCCTTTTGTAACATCTTATATTGACTTTAAAATGGTACAGCTGGATTTGGCAGCTCCAGGTTCTGCTGCGTGTCTCCTTGGCTGTGTGCGGTCAGCGGGAGGAGCAGCAGTGCCCAGCCTGACTCGGGCGCTGCTCCTCCTGCTGCCCCTCCACACGGCAGCTCTGCTTCTGCATGCCGGGGTGCAGGAAGAGGCTCCTAAAATGGAGAAACAGTAGCCAGAAAGCAATGGAAGGAGAAAAAGGGCTTGTCTGTGGTGGATTAGGACAGAAATCAGCACCTGGGAGTCCTGGTGAAGAGCAGGGGGGCAGTGACATGAGACTTTGAGTGTAGATGAGAAGTAGGGAGTGAAAGGAGGTTGTAGCGAGGTGGGGGTTGGTCTCTTCTGCCAAGTAACTAGCGATAGGACGAGAGGAAATGGCCTCAAGTTGCCCCAAGGGAGGTTTAGACTGGACATTAGGAAAAACTTCTTTACTGAAAGAGTGGTCAGGCCTTGGAACAGGCTGCCCAGGGAAGTGGTGGAGTCACCATCCCTGGAAGTATTTAAAAGACGTGTAGATGAGGCGCTTAGGGACATGGTCTAGTGGGCATGGTGGTGTTGGGTTGACGGTTGGACTCGATGATCTTAGGTCTTTTCCAACCTTAATGATTCTATGATTCTATTCTATGATTCTAGGAGGGGGCTGGGCTGTATACAGGAGAGATGTATCTGAATAGTATGAGAGGGAGATCCTTAATAAATACACTGGGCTCTGCTGTCTTCCACCTTCTGTCCTGTGTACACCCTGTTGTACTCTAACCACTGGTTTAATACCACTGGTATAATCCAAATTTACTGCAGTACCTCCCAACTAATAGGTATGTTAGTTCCAATAACCTTACAACACATTTCTTGTAGGAGGAATAGAAGAGTCCTTAGAACACCATTCTGCATCTTTTACTCTACGTCTCTGAAGTGACTCAGGGTGTGTCCAATGGGAGTTCACAGGCTGTAGATATAGGATCGTCAAGTGTTGAGTAAGGAACTTACATTTTCAAATAAAGTCACTTAGTCTTTTTAAGGTCCATAGTAGGTCTCCAAGAAGTATCTGGCAACATTAAACCACAAACTCAGACCTCAGGCCACAATGTCTACCCTTCACCCACCAGAATGTGAGGAGTGCTATGCCAGAGGAAAGGCTGATGATCTGTTTATGAAAAAACTCCATGAACCAGGGAACATGGAGCCACAAAGACGGAACAACACTTCAAACTTTGACCTTTCACTCTTTGTATCTCGACATCCTCTCAAAAAAAAAAAAAAAAAATCTGCCGTGGTGCTGAAAGTTGTGGTGTCATGGGCCCAAAACACTGCTTCTGCTTCAGACTGCAGAGTAGGTTGGGGTGACTTAACTTTAACAATGCTTATTGTAGTCATCAACATCTGAGCTATTCAGGTGGCTTGTGTGTTATATTGAGATGAAATGAACCACGTCCCAGAAGTGCCTGCCCCTCCCCACTGAAGATGACTACGTCTGATGTAAACATCTACAGTATGGACATAATTTGGACAGGTGAGTCATGCTCTCTGTTTCTGTAAGTGAAGTACAATGTAGGAAGAATCTTGACTCTTCAAGATGCTGAATAAAAACACCACATTGGCTTCCTCCTAACGTTCACATAGAGGGTTTAACGTGATTTGAAATTGTTGGTGGTGTTTTTGAAGGGCTTCATGACTGCAGGTACAGGACCAATCTTTCTCTTGCCTACTTATATTCTTTATGTCCATTGCAAATTAAGTTTTATCTTGTACTTTCCCCCCCTGCTATTCATCTGTAGTAATTTAATTTTGCTTCCTTTTTTTTTTTTAAATATATAATTCCTGACTTGGCCAAACGGACTACTTAGTACAAGTTACATCCTTTGTTTGCACTAGGATAGCTGCTGGCTGTGATCTTACTATAGTTGGTTGTTCTAAAGAAAACGTCAACTCCCCTAAATAATTTTTTTCTTTACACTTGATTCCTACAGGATCTTACCTGAGACTTCTGTCAATTTAGTGAATGTAATTTATCTTGTTTTCTCTCTCCTTTCCTTTCAGAATCATGCATGTCACTTCATGGTTGTTTTCATCTAAACTGCCTTTCAGTCATAATCAAATCTAGTAAAACTGCCTTTTAGTTGCTTTCTCTACTTCATACAGCATATTTATTTCAAGTGTATTCCAAGAACTTACCAAGCAGCCTATCTCCTGATGTATATCTTTCCAAATAGATACCCACTAGTTAAAATTCTTCACTGTCACAAGTTCAGTTGTTTGGATGACTGTCAGTTATTCAAAAAAATAATGTGGCATATTTCTTTGCAAGTCTAGCGCAAGCCCTACATTTGACAACCTTTGTCTCTGTGCCTCCAACCTCTCCCACCCCCCACATTGCTACTGTGAATAAGATAAATTGTACTTCAGAGGTGTGTGTTTTTCCCCAGCTATTCTAAAGTGCAGACAGAGATATACATTACAGATGTCTGAAGTTAGGTGAGATGGATCCCATGGTTCCAGGTCAGAGGACTTATCACACTATCTGGATGACATCTATCAGTATCTTAACTGTGAGAGCAGTTGGTTCATGTCTTTACTTGAAGTTATAGTTTGTTTTCCACTATAGAGGAGCAGAGGACTTGGGACTAAAACAAACATTTTGGGATTCATGGCAAAAGGCTGTTTGTCCTAAAAATGGGGATGATACTTTACTGAAGAGTCTTAATAACTGATAAAAATAATTTAAAATGGAGTCTTCTTTTGCATTTTAAAACATTGTTGGAAATTGAAATGGAAATACAATACTTCATATGAATGCTAGTACATTTATCCAGCTTTTCTTTTAAAGATTTGAGCAGTGCTTTTTATGTCTTAAGTACTTCCAAAACCACCAGTTTACCAAATAAACTCTTCTATTTTTTGAAAGAACCTGCTGAAATATTTATAAGAACGACGCCCTCCTCCTCCCCGTTTTAAAAAACATTTCTGAAAATGGAGGCTTACACATTCATTAGACTTTCACTGTATAAAAATGTACAGTGGCTTTATTGACATGTACATTCCATTATGTTTACAGCTGCAAGATATGAGGCACACTCAGTATTGCACTTCATTAAAATTTCAGGCTCAAACATAACCCAGAAGTTTAAATGAAACTGCTGTTGTAATTTAATAATTCTTATACAGGACAAACATTGATACCTTTATATACAGCGTGATACTTGTTACATTTATGCCTTCCTAACACAATTTTTTTTTTTTTTATAACAGTCTAGGAAATAAACCAGAATATTCCTCTTTCCCATCCCCACTTGTGATGCGTTACAATTGTACAAGATTACAAAAAGTCAGTATACAATAATCAATTTTTTTTTTTCTTTCTCCTGAAAGCCAGCATCATTCATAGTCGACAGACACACAGATCCTTTAATAGCAATTATTTATTTGTAAATGTCCAATGTTTCCTAGCCGATGACTGTAATGGCCACATGCAAACACCTCACAAGTTTTGATGTCTCGGTTCAAAAAATGTCAATATCTCACAGCAAGAATTATGTACATGATATTTGGCATCCTTCTTGCACTGTAAATTGTTCCTTTTACCTGGGTTATGAAATGGTCCCGTCCTCATCCCAGCTGGACTTTATTTTCAGTACACTTGAGGGATGAGGGCACCTGTTTTGCTCTGGTAAAAAAAAAAAAAATGCTAGTCTAAAAAGTGTGAGCATTTCTGCAAACCCCACAACCCAGAGCAAATTCTTCACCAGTGGGTGGATGGACAACATGAAGTGGACATTCTGTTCCTTCAAGTTGTTTACCTTTGGGACCTACAGTGAATTTAAGGGTGAGGGGGAAAGAAAAGAAAAAAAGATTAATGCTTGCAGACTTGATGTAAATAAACATATATTGCACTTCCTCAAAACACATGCTAAGTGAAGGTAATATGTCTATAATATAAACCTATAAGGCATCAAAACTAAAGGCTTAAGAAACAGCAGATAGAAAGGTGCTTTCACACAGCCAAATTCAAGCAAGAAGTCTAGAAGCTTAATAGGCCAAGAGAAAAAACGCCATTCAATTTGTCCTGGTTTCGGCTGGGATAGAGTTAATTTTCTTCCTAGTAGCTGATATAGTGCTGTGGTTTGGATTTAGTATGAGAATAGTGTTGATAGCAACAACTAAAACATCAGTGTGTTAAGTAATGCTTACATAGTCAAGGACTTTTCAGCTTCCCATGCTCTGCATGGGTGCACAAGAAGCTGGGAGGAGGGGGCATAGTCAGGACAGCTGCCCAAACTGGCCAATGGGGTATCCATACCTTATGATGTCATGCTCAGTGTATAAGCTGGGGGGAGGGTTGGCCGGGGAGGAGTGACCGCTGCTCGGGATCTGGCTGGTTATTGGTCGGCGGGTGGTGAGCAATTGTATTGTGCATCACTTACTTTGTATATTCTATCATCACCATCATTATTATTTTCCCTCCCTTTTCTGTTCTATTAAACTGTCTTTATCTCAATCCACGAATTTTACTTTTTTTTTTTTTCCCCGATTCTCTCCCCCATCCCACTGCAGAGGTGGGGAGCGAGCGAGCAGCTGTGTGGTGTTTAGCTGCCAGCTGGGGCTAAACCACAACAAATTAGATCTGACAAAACATGATCAAGAACTGTTAGCTCCTTAAAACAGTTATGTCAGATGTTGAATTGGTATTTGAAGGACGGGGCGGGGGGGTAATCAAACTGCCATGTAATTTAAAATTGGGGGGGGTAATCAAACTGCTGTGTAATTTAAAGTAAATCAAGTTCTAAGTAAAAAAGGCAAAAAGCTTATAGGGGGAATCACAAAATAAGTTTCATCTCATTAATACCGTGGAAGAAACTAGCACAGTCTATAAGCAGAATCGATAAATATGAACAAGAGTTACACTCTGCAGTAAAAAAATAATTCTAAGGTTATATCAGGAATTGTCTTTCTTTATTTTTTTTTTTTACTTCTTCCATGTAAATATCTTAATCAAAAAGATTTCACTTTTTTCCAACAGCAAGATAAATAACATGATTTATTGAGATGAAATCAATGGCACATGAAGTTAGAAACTAAGGCATTGGCAACAGTTTGCACATGACAGGTACCTAAGTACGAATATATAATTTAATAGTAGTGTGTTAATTTTTTCAATATAATTGTAATGCATCATGTCACATCTGGAGCCTGAATTGGTGTAGGTAAATTGAAATGCCTTTCTGTATCAAAGTATCTAATATTTAAAGAACCAATGTGATGAAATTGCCTGTATTATTGCCAGAAAAGCAAAAAATCAAAAGCATGCACAGAACAAACTAATTCTAATATTATTCAAGATACTCAATTTAAAATTTGCATGACTGACCCTGTGGTTTTTCCTAAAAATCATCAGCAAGAAAAGATAAGAATATCTATTAGAACTAATTACTAATCTCAGAATTCAGCGTGGTAAATTTGCTTTATAAAAATACTACCTGCAGGACAGTGTGGGAGTTCTTCTTTAGGGATGCTTGTCATTCTTTGGAAATCATCATGGCAAGCATTGCAAAAATGCGTTGTCCCAAAACAGAAAAAAACAGCAACTGAACAGCAGTAGCGGCATTTGTATTCTAAGAAATCTGTACCGTGTTTGGGACACATCTAAACAAAAGAAAAGAGACACCGATAAATTAAGTAGCCGTGCTGTAACAATCTGAACAACACATTTCTACATTCTGTAGTATATGTTAATATTATACAATACATATATACAAATTACTGTGAATTATTGTACAGCTCAGGTACTCGGAGCTTCAGAATGAAATAAAAACACGAATACAAATTCTTTACTTACCTGAGCCCTTGAAACATCAGAGCACGCACCACAAATAAGTTCTCTTGGATCATAGTCATCTCCTTGTCCAGCCTCAGCATCACAGCGAGCTTCGCCACCAAAATATGCCTAAGTTTCATATAGGAATGATTGGACATTAAACCAGAGACAACTATTATTTTAACAAATTCAATTCGTAAGGGAAAAATGATGAATAAAGGTCATTACCGTAGTCTCCACTATTCTGGTAACTCTCGACTCTAACTCCAGATACATGTTTTTGAGGTACTAAGACAATGTTTCTCAATCTCAAGATAAACAAGACCAAAAATTGTGCAACGTACTCTGGTTTATGCAAGCGACTGTAAGGCTTTTGAAACAGTATTTAGATGCTCTATGAACTGTATGTAAGAAAGACAGGACTGAGGCTGAAGAAACATTCTACCAAGAGGGCTTTTTACTAGCCAAAAGGAGTATCAGTTTTTATGCTCATGTGGGATCTCTTTTAACTAGAATTTTGCTATTTTCTAAAAATTCATTCTGCTTTCTCATCTTATTCTACCAGGACACACTGGGCACAAAAACGCACCAAGTGAGACTGCCAACCTCTGATGAATTTCCTCATATACTAAAGTGTTTTCACATGGAGTAGTGAGACGAGTAACTTCCTTGCTTCCTGTGTTACCATATTATTAACTAATTAGACAATGCACAAAATTCTTGCTCTCTGCAATTCTCACCTTTTTGTGAGATTGTAAAAGGATAGGGAAAGTGGTCTCGAGGCAACTATGAGGAAGGGAAAATTTAAGAAGCACACCTTCCCCCCAAATCTGCAGACTAAAAAGAAAAGGGAGAGTCCTATGGAATGTATGTCAGGGAATTAGGTAGTAGTTTGGGGTAAACAGGTGCTGGAGGAAGGAAAAAAGTTAGATAGTTGAATGTTGCTGTTCAGACATATGGACACAGTACGAAAGGCAATAACAAGATATAAGGGAAGGAAAAAGAGGGCAGTAAGAAAAATACTGAAATACTGAGTGTTAAATACCGGAAAGAAAGAGTAATGAAAAACAGGGACAGCACTAAAAACTGGAGAAAGTAAGATGAAAAAAGAAATTGTTTTTGTAAGGGAGGAAAAAAAGGCAGTACGCAAGTTGCTAAAGGATGAGGAGTGAAAATTGATTAACTGTGGGAGGCAGGAACAAAAGTGAACTGGGTAACTGTGTAGTAATGAGCTAGAGGGATTCATTACTGCTCTTCTCTAGCATATGGAAGTTAATCCTTTGTCCTCTTATTTCCAAACTCTGCACTTCCATTTAACAAAAAAATTATTGGGGTTTCCCTTGAAAATTTTATCATGAAATTGCCTTATTCCATTCATTCCTAAGGGAAAAAGGAAAAAGATGTGATCAAGATGGGCACTAAAATCAGCTTTAGAGGAAAGAAGCAGTGGGAGGGGGTTCAGTGATTATCCAAAATTTCTCTAACCATAGTCTGTAACCATAGATAAAAAATGTTTGTCTCTTCTCTGCTGGTGGGGAAACCAGGGGCTGGTTGTATAGGATTTTTGTCTTCTGGATAAATTTCATATTCTCTACCTGAAGAAAACTGTACATATATGACTCAGAGTCCATCAGGCTAGACCACACATTTCCTCTTTCTACTCCTTTTTCATTCTTCTAACACTTCTGCCCCAAAGTCAGTTTACTGCAGTTGCAATGAACTCCAACTTGGGTAAAAGTAATATTTAGGTGGAATCTTAGTGAGGAACTCTCCATATCAAAGAGTTAGAATGAAACTTATGTTTATACTATTTTAATGTTTACGTAAAGTATGAGTTGGAAGTAGGACAAAGG